AAATATATAAATATGTATAGTATTTTTATGTTACATTAATCAGTATTTAGCACACAATAGAAGACATTGCAATTACTAAATTATATTTAGACAGACTTAAAGAAGTTCCAGATCTATACATATGCTCTTATTATTTCAGTTATGTTGCCTTTAATCTAAATAAACATGTGCAAACAATATACTTGCTTGTGAATTTATTTGGATGTTAATTACATTGTGCGAGCTGTCTCTTTAATACGGCGTGGTTTATACACATGTTGCTGCTGATTGGGCTGACATGTTTGACACACCCACCAAACAAGACAAAACGCATCTCAAACCCCGTTGCACACCGTTTGCAGGAAACATGTCGTTCAAACCGGAAACTGTAGCAAAACGGTGCACACCGGTTTGAGCTTGAACCTGCCCCAGGCCTGTGTTCAGCCCCGACAAAACGGTGCACACCGGTTTGAGCTTGAACCTGCCCCAGGACAAACGGCATGTCAATCAGGCATTTTGGGGAGACACAACAAGTTATTAGAGAAAGAAATTATAGATCAATATTCCTATGAAATATGAGATATTCTTACGAAAATGTTGCAAAGTTATTACTATCATTATAACACTTCATTTTTCATTACGGTTTGCCCCAAGAACACATTAATATGCAAATTAGGTGCAGTGTATAGATACATTGAATACAATGGGAATATCAATTTATTGACATTTTACTCACATATTGCATAAAGCATAATTTTATATCAAATCATTCAGTTATATCTTTCATAACATAGCTGAGAAACATCTTTGTACAAAGTTTGGTTAAAAATAGTCGGAAACCTAAAAACTGATTGGTGAATGAAAAAAACTAATAAATCATTGTTTTTGCCTTTTCATGTCCATTTATTTATTTATTTTAATACGTTCTGACGTCCTCTAGGACATAGAATAAAATGTGAATAAAAAATATATTTAAAAAAAAAAACTCTTTTTTTCTACATTTGTTTCTCATGCACCAACCAGTTTTTATTTGACCAACTTTTGATGGCTCTCAGGAGGATATAAAACTCAAATGAAAAAATCATTTCATTGTCATCACTACGGAAATCAGTCAACTGAAATGTAATATCCATCTCTGTGAGTTTGCTGTGGCTGGTATTAGTTCACTTAGCAAGTGAAGACAGCCGATTAATAATTGTGAATTACACTGTGCTAATAATTCTTTGTTAATGTAAGCAAAATTCACAAGCTTGCAACCATATCTTTTTTTTATTCCAGCTGATGAAGGTTCACATGTATGTCAGCAGTAAAAATGCATGTGACAGTTGGAACAATGGCCCCTATAGGCTGTATCATGTCTATTAACAGTTTATTGAATTGCCATCTCAGTAAGTTCTAGTAATGGGGTCTGAACGCCCAATAGCTGTATTATACGTGGGGGCTTGTGTAGATGCGCACATTTCAAAATGCCAAGATTTTTAGTGCTCATTTCATCAACCATGTTGTAATACAGCCTACTGGATTCGTAATTTTTTTTCATTTACTCACCCTCATGTCGTTCCAAATGGTTTATTTCTTCAGTGTAACATAAAAGAAACTCTTTGAGATATGTATTTTATTTTTGTTTGTGCAATAAAATCAATGGGGTTCAAAGCATCATTATACTTTCATTGTACAGAAAAATAAACATTATTCAAAATATACCCTTTTGTGTTCTACAGAAGAGCTAAAGTCATGCGGGTTTGGAGTGACATGAAAGTTATGATCATGTTTGGACGAAATTAGCCTAAAGGCAAAAGTGGTCTAGGTCAATAAGATGATTTAATAACATAATCGTTCAGAGTTGTGGAAACTGCTGAAACTGAAATGAGTCATGAAGCTTTGTTTAATATGTAGCCACCTGCTGTGTAATGTGCTCAAGGAACTGTCTGTTGTCTGACACACCTGCGACTTGTTTACATACCTCCCTAAGGGGATTTGTGTTTCTCAGATGGGAACATTGTTTTTTCCCTTTCTTCCTTATGTTTGTGTAATAGAAATCCTCATTTATGTATTGTTATATTGGATGATGATGTGGCGAGTGTATTAATATTTTGCTTGTGTATTCACAACCTAATCCCGGGTTCATTTTCACTCTTTCTCCACAGCTCGCCACGGGGACAGTCTGTATGACTCCTACATGCGCACCGATCACATTGTGAACCAGGACGCTGATGTGAATGGACAGAGTCCCTCTGGACTTCCCCCTCTCCCAAAACACACTGTAAGTCCTGACTTCCTCTCCCCCCAGACCCAGTGCCCAGGACTTTCTAGGCGTCATCCTCTCACGGGAATCTTTCAGTGAGCCCTAGATGAAAATATTTCCCTAGTACTCGCATGAACAGTTCTAAAGAACACGATTAAATTCTAAAGAACAGCTGAGCTTGAAAATCGGATTTTCGATGTCCATTCTTCAGGCTCAATATGTTCAAATGATTTTTCACCCCTGTGGTTCAGAGTCTTAGCTAAGCACATGTTCTGCTGCCACTTGTGCATCTTGGAACGTCACGTTTTTAGACAAGCTTTCCTCCCACATTCTGATAGTGGTACAAGTTACATCTGCAGCATATCAAGTCTGTTTATTGTGCCTCACAGCATGTGTATCACATGGAAAGCCAGTGCTTTTAATCTTTCAATAAATGAAATGTAATTTAATCAAATTTCTATTTTTATGGTGAGCAAATACACTAAAACAATATCAGGTGTTCAAACTAGACAGATTAAGCCTTTCAATGAGGTCCATGTAGCTTACTGTATGATACGTCAACGTGGGACCGGAGATGATAAAGGATATGATAATCCGATTCTCCACTGTACTATTATGCAATAAATAATTCTGTGTATGTGTTGGATCTGGTGACATTATTTCCTGTTTTGAAGCTGTATCACTTCTTTGCATGCTACTATACTTCTGAGATCATAAATACTATAGATGGACTATGTAATTGTTATTACCCTCAGTAAATAATCCGTAAATGTTCAATAAACAATCTGGGAGGGGACGACTTTGATTTTCTGGCATTTGGGGGTTCAAACAATCATAGCAGCTTCCAGTAGTTCCATTTATTAATTTAGCTACCGACATAACAGATTTCATTTAGGTCATGTACTCCTTGTTGAGTCAACCAAGCTCTTGAGTCTTTTTGTTGTGATTGAACAGCTGATGCATTTGGCTAGTCTCTACAGTATCCTTCATTTCCCAACACACTGGTTTCTATTTTTGTCTCACTCCTTGGAACTGCCTTTCCATGGCCCTTCCCCCTCCAAAACAATTGGCACAGTTTACTATAGGCACCTTATAATTTTATCTGCATGACCTAATTTTTTTCCCCTCTGCTTTCTTGTTCTTCTTCTTGTGCTATATGCAGAGCCAAACAGAATATATCTTGGGCTTAACTATAAATCTTTGATAGTGGAATCTTAAATGGAAATGGAACTTGGAGCAGCTATGGTGTATTAAATATCCTGAATGTGAAAGAGAGTTCCTCTATTCCCGGTCACTCAAGAATGCCCACTGTGGCTGCCCACTGTTAATCAGGGTTCCCACTCGGGTAGTGATGGGGAGGAAATCTTTCTACCAGTTAATCGACATGTGACAACACCGGTAATACCGGTGTCACCGGGGGGTGGGGTTCGTTGGAGTTTTCCTCCTCCTCCTCACTTTTGTTCACTTTTAAATAGCTTAATGCCCGTGCACGTTTTACTTTCACTTTCGAATTAGCGTCAATTCGGCATCAATTGCTTGAACGGACAACAACAAAATAGTACAAACTCACTAATATTAAACATAGAACTTTTGTTAACAAACCGAATAAAATTACACCATGCTATAGGCCTAATATAAAATAAATAAATTGCACAAAGTTTAAATATATATAAAAAAATAAGAAACACAGAACGTTTATTAGCAAAATGAATAAGAAAGCTTGGAGGCACGGCATACACCTTGATGTAAAAAAATAAATAAAGTACACAACGTTTAAATTCAGCAAACAATGTGGAATCAAAGTATAAAAAAAAAAACACTTACAAAATCACATTAACACCGTCAACACTGACTATCACAGCCAGCCTAGTTCTCACGTCTCCTGGAAAATTGATGACTAATTTTCCAGTCCTGGAAAACACATGGAAAATGAGAGAAAATGTAAAATGTCCTGGAAAATCTTCTAGTTGTCCTGGAAAATGATTTTTAAAAATTTAATTTTGTTTTCCTTTAGCCAAGAATGAACAGTTTACCACTGACCCGAAGCCATTAATGTTAGTAGTAGAAAATGTTCAAACGGCCATAAACTGGCCAGTTTTTACTCCAAACGCGCGAATGGCAGTCGGCTCTTTTGTTTTATTTCAGCCGATATCTGTTCTGGACTTGCACACAAACTGTATTGCAAGCTTTTTCCAAAATGCCATTTGTGTGGAAATACTACGAAGTCTGTAAACGGGATGTTAACAAATGCCAGAGATGCTGAAGCCGAACACAAAGATGAGAAAAATACTGTAGCCGGCAGAGCAGCTCACTGTTCATGATGCACGCAATAGTGGATGAAAATTTTTAATATTGAATTGGGGCTGGGTGTTTAAATGAATGTACCTCTGTGGGATACTGATTGTCTTCAGAAAAGTTTAGATAGTATTTTCTTTTCACCTTGCCTCTGTATAATGCATATTAAAGTAATATTTTTTGGCGCAGCACTGCTTTGTTTACAGCGGTAACCAAGGAAATGCTGTATCGCTGCTGTTCCAGAAGCGACGCCTGCTGTCAAAGAGTGAATTTGTATTCTCATTCAGCCCGTCTGCTGTGTTTTTTAAATTTTTTTATTTTTATGTAGCATAATTTCACAAAGATAAAGTCAGAGACCATTCTGTTTTTGCTTCAGATTTTGTAATTGCATCTAATTTAAATCAGAAACTGCTCACGTATGTAGAATCTTTATATGTATGTATTTTCTGCCAATGACCTGCATTAGTGTGGAAAGGATTGAAAGACATCAACTACAAGACACCATCCCCCAGCACTGTGGAGAATCAACAACTGGCCGATGATTTTTATTGCAGGTCTCACACCCCACACCCATTCTGACCTTCTTTCCATGGATCTATTAACACCTCCAGCAAACCCCTCTCCCCCCCTGCACTTCAGGTCTGTGAAAAAGATGTGCGTCAGGTCTTCCGGAAACAGAAGTTAAAGAAAGCACCAGGCCTAGACAGTGTTACACCAGCCTGTCTAAAAACCTGTGCTGACCAACTGGCCCCCATCTTCACACAAATCTTAAAAAGATCACTTGAGCTGTGCAAAGTCCCTTCCTGCTTCAAACGCTCCACCATCATCCCCATCCCAAAGAAACCCAAAATTACAGGACTAAATGATTACAAACCTGTGACTTTAACCTGCTTTTACCTGTGGTCTTGAAGTAATTTGAAAGCCTGGTGCTGGCCCACCTGAAGGACATCTCTGGACCCTTGCTGGACACCCTGCTGTTTGCTTACCGAGCAAACAGGTCTGTGGATGATACAGTCAACAAGGGACTGCATTATATCCTACAACATCTGGACAGACCAGGGACCCAAACCTTCTCATGTCCAAATTAACTCGGCTCTCTGTGACACCTCCGTCTGTCAGTGGATCACCAGCTTCCTGAGAGACAGGCAGCAGCTAGTGAAGCAGGGAAAATTCTCATCCAGCACCCGCACCATCAGCACTGGTGCTCCTCAGGGATGTGTTCTCTCCTCACTGCTCTTCTCCCTGTACACCAACAACTGCACGTCTAAAGACCCCTCTGTCGAGCTCCTGAAGTTCTCAGATGACATCACACTTATCGGCCTCATCCAGGACGGTGACGAGTCTGCTTTCAGAAAGGAGTTTAAAGAGCTGGCTGTCTGGTGCAGTTATAACTGGAGCTGAACACGCTCAAAGCAGTGGAGATGATAGTGGACTTCAGGAGGAACCCCCCTGCACTCCCCCCACTCACCATCATGGACAGCACTGTGGCAACAGTGGAGTCATTCAAGTTCTTTGGCACTACCATCTCTCAGGACTTGAAGTGGGAGTTCCACATAGACTCCATTGTCAAAAAGGCCCAGCAGAGGCTGTACTTCCTTCGCCAGCTGAGGAATTTCAACCTGCCACAGGAGCTGCTGATACAGTTCTACTCTGCAGTCATTCAATCCATCCTTTGCACATCTATAACTGTCTGGTTCAGCTCAGCTACCAAATCAGAACTTAGAAGATTGCAGCGGATAGTCCGGACTGCTGAGCGAATCACTGGTTCAACCCTCCCCACTCTCCAAGAACTGTACTCATCTAGAGTGAAAGGGCTGGCAAAATCATTCTGGACCCCTCACACCCAGCCCACTTCCTCTTTGAACTTTTGCCGTCTGGTTTATGCTACAAAGCACTGAGCATCAGAACGGCCAGGCCTAAGAACAGTTTCTTTCCTCAGGCAATCCATTTCATGAACGGCTAACTTGGCAATAAACGTGCAATACACAACACTATTTATACATTTACAAAAACCATCTATTGTCTACTTTGTAGATTGTGTATTTTATTTATTTTTTGTATATTGTCATTTCCTATTTACTTATCCCATTTTTATTCTTTTTATTATCTGTCTTGTCTTGTCACTGTCATTCTGTTTGTGCTGTGGAAGCTTCTGTCACCAAAACAAATTACTCGTATGTGTAAACATACCTGGCAATAAAGCTGATTTTGATTCCGATTTTGATTCTTTCTTTGGATTGTGATAAAAATTGCAGTGGTTGCGTCTAATTTTAAATGGCTACAGAGAGTTCGGCCTGTAATAGAGCAAAAAAACATCTTGTTCATGTACTCATATTTTCATTCTATCTTATCTCTTGCTTTAAAAAAAAAAATAAAACATTAACAAATCAGTATTGCAAATCGGCCCATTTGCTTGTAAATAAATCAGAATCGGAACCTTCTCTCCAGTGGTCAACTTTAAGAGAAGTATTTCTGTAATTCAGTAACTTGTTAAATAATAATATTGATTATTGTCAAAAGTAGGCTATTAGTATTTCTGTACCAAGTCGAAACTAAAAATTTTAAACCGTAACAATACCGGCCTTTGTGCAGCCCTGGTAGTACCAAGTACAGACTCATATTACACACAAAAACCATCTATTGTCTACTTTGTAGATTGTGTATTTTATTTATTTTTTGTATATTGTCATTTCCTATTTACTTATCCCATTTTTATTCTTTTTATTATCTGTCTTGTCTTGTCACTGTCATTCTGTTTGTGCTGTGGAAGCTTCTGTCACCAAAACAAATTACTCGTATGTGTAAACATACCTGGCAATAAAGCTGATTTTGATTCCGATTTTGATTCTTTCTTTGGATTGTGATAAAAATTGCAGTGGTTGCGTCTAATTTTAAATGGCTACAGAGAGTTCGGCCTGTAATAGAGCAAAAAAACATCTTGTTCATGTACTCATATTTTCATTCTATCTTATCTCTTGCTTTAAAAAAAAAAATAAAACATTAACAAATCAGTATTGCAAATCGGCCCATTTGCTTGTAAATAAATCAGAATCGGAACCTTCTCTCCAGTGGTCAACTTTAAGAGAAGTATTTCTGTAATTCAGTAACTTGTTAAATAATAATATTGATTATTGTCAAAAGTAGGCTATTAGTATTTCTGTACCAAGTCGAAACTAAAAATTTTAAACCGTAACAATACCGGCCTTTGTGCAGCCCTGGTAGTACCAAGTACAGACTCATATCAGTACTCGCTGATAGGCAGCTGCTTTCAAATGCTTCTGTGCATATTTATATTGCTTTCCATGAACCGTTATATGCAATGGCCAGTCAGAGGTGTTTAAGTTAGTCAGAATCCACTCATTTTTAATTTGACCCTTTTAAAGAAATACTTAATTGAAAAATATTTGAAGGATGCATGCCAATATTTTAAAATATTTTCTTTAATATTATTGCTAGCATCAATAATGAACAGATTTAATTTATTTTAATTTTCAAATAGGTAAATAAGATAATTAAATACTTTATATATATATATATATATATATATATCTTCTTTTTTTTTTTTGCTATGGTACTGAAAATGGTTCTGAAAATCATTTGTTGTAATGTATAATTAAGAGCTCATATTAAAGAGCTGATTTTATAGTTCAGTCATGGCCATAAACTGTGTTTTTAAAGATTTCTCGAGCGAGGAATATATTATTTTAGGGTGTGATCCTTGTGTTTAATTGTCGCCATAATTAAATTTAATATCCTCAAAGTCCTCGAAGTCCTGGAAAATGATCACTGAAAAAGAGTGGGAACCCTGATTAATGACATATTTATTTTGTAAGGCAAAAGTTCAGTGCATATTTAATGATATAGTTAGGTTTAGTGGCTATTTCTCAACCATGGCAAGAATTCTTTCCAAGTGCTGTGCTAAAAGTATGTGAAGGACCTGTCATGGTGTAGTCATACACCCTTTCTAAAAGAAAATTTCCACATTGCTTTGTTTTCCCAGTCTACTGAAATGTAGTTAGTTCTGTATTTAAATTGCATTGTTTTGAAGCATTCAGCATGTTTGCAGGTCTCAACAATTAGACTCTTGCCTTCAAAGCAGTGTTAATTTGGTTTGACGAATAATTTTCGTCATAATTGTCGTCAACGACATTTTTTTCACAGACGACAACGAGACGATAACGAACTAAAACTCTTTTTGAATGACAAAAACTATGACGTAAATCTATTGATATTTCGTCAACGAATAAAAACAAGACGAAAATGTTGGGGAGGGACGATTTGGGATGAGATTCATTCAGAACGAATCTGCTGCATGGTTCGGAGGTTACTGTATGCTTACATATGAACCAGCGGGACATAAGCTAAAATACACTTGCTGCACGTCGCATAAAATGTTAAAAAAATTTCAAAATGTGGGAGTAAGAGAAGAGCAGACATATGGATAAATCTGACGACGCAAGAGGGAACTCAATTCGGTCAAGTTTTCTGAGCTCAGACACTATACACACAAAGCGCGTCTCAGCGCGCGAGTACTCTTTCGCGTCGCATGAACCGAGAATTACACACAAAATGATGTTGAATTGTATGTTTTGACAAGTATTCACGTAAACACAGTTGATTACGTCTTAAGTGAACGTAAACAGTAGGAAGAACGTGTATCAGTACATTGCATTCAGTTTTAAAGGGATAGCAGCCTAATTTAGTTGCTATTGTCATTGATGTTAATCAAGCAACAAAAGAAAGACAGAAAATCACGCACTGTTCTTGACTGAAAAACTTTAGTGGCCTTAAAGATTAATCTAAATGTATTTATAGAAATAAATGTCTGCTTGAAAGAATGAAGAATATGGTAAACAAGTTGCTATAAAGAATGCATAATTAGCCTATATAACCATTGGTATTTCATTAAAAAGTAGACCATGTTCTTGTTCTTTGTGAGAAGTGGTTTTATTTAATTTTAACATAAAGGCATGTGTGTCACGGCAGTTAAATCAGTGTCTATCATGATAAAACCTTAATATCAAACCTATGTAATGAGTTTGGAAATTTTAGAGAAATGCATAATACATGCATTACACTGTAACTAAACCCATTAGATTTTAGCAGATTAAATTTACTGTAGATTTAATCGACTAAAATCTTATATTTAGTCGACTAAAACTAAAAACAATTCAGATGACTAAAATATGACCAAAACTAAATGGAATTTTAGTCAAAAGACTGACTAAAACTAAATCAAAATTTGCTTCAAATTAACACCGCTTCAAAGGTTTTTTCCGTATCCCCTGTGAGTATGAAAGTAACATATTGTTCCACCAGTTTTCAGTTCACGTTCCAATCACACTGCAAAGTCGGTGTCTGGCATTCTCTGTCACTGCAATTATCACTCATGCATCAAACCTCTCCACTGGTCTCATGTTTTTCCCATGGTTACTAGGCAGCTGATCAATTCTGCACGTTTGCGCTATTGATTATTTAATACTGGTCTGATAAAACCTCAGAGCTGCAGTACATTGATTTTTCAGGTCAGCGCAGAAACCAGAAGTGATAAGAGATTGATTTTGAACATCCACTTAGCTGAAAAGATAATGTTGGCTTTGGTTAACCTCATATTTGTCTTGTACAACTTGATGTAACCGTTTGACAAACTGTTAAAATATTTATTTCCTTTTGTAGGGTGTGAACAAGCCTACAATAAAGGATCACCAAGCAGTCCGCGGAGGACAGAAGGTGAAGTATTTTTATGAGGACACCTACAACCGCAAACTCAATGGTGTGAGCCAGCACAATGGCACAAGCCAAGTACCAGCTAAGCCCCAACCTGCAATCTCCAAAGACAGAAGCGTGGACAGCAACAGCTCTGTCAAGTCATCCGAGAGCTCAACAAAAGTCACAAAGCTGGGCAGCCCAATGACCCCAGAACAAGCTCTCAAGCAATACCGGCAGCAACTGACTACCTTGGAGCAGCAGGAGATCCACAACTATCCTGAGATCTATTTCCTGGGACCAAATGCCAAGAAGAGGCAGGCAGTAGCTGGGGGCACCAACAATAGTGGATATGACGATGACCAGGGAGGATACATCCATGTACCTCATGACCACCTTGCCTATCGCTACGAGTTCCTCAAGGTGATCGGCAAAGGTAGTTTCGGACAAGTGGCGAAAGTTTATGACCACAAGTTACAGCAGCACCTCGCCTTGAAGATGGTGCGCAACGAGAAGCGCTTCCACCGGCAAGCTGCTGAGGAGATCCGAATTCTGGAGCACCTGAAGAAGCAAGACAAGACAGGCAGCATGAACGTAGTCCACATGTTGGAGAATTTCACCTTTCGCAATCACATATGTATGACTTTTGAGCTGCTTAGCATGAACCTGTACGAGCTCATCAAACGCAACAAGTTTCAGGGTTTCAGTCTCCCGCTGGTACGCAAGTTTGCACACTCTATTCTCCAATGCCTGGAAGCACTCCATCGCCATAAGATCATCCACTGTGACCTGAAACCAGAGAATATCTTACTGAAGCAGCAAGGCAGGAGTGGGATTAAGGTTATTGACTTTGGCTCCAGCTGTTTCGATCACCAGCGTGTCTACACGTACATCCAATCCCGCTTCTACCGTGCACCCGAAGTCATTTTGGGATTGCGATATGGTATGCCTATCGACATGTGGAGCTTTGGTTGCATTCTGGCAGAGCTGCTTACCGGATACCCTCTGTTTCCTGGTGAAGATGAAGGTGACCAGCTGGCCTGCATAATGGAGCTACTGGGTGTACCACCTCAGAAACTGCTGGAACAAGCCAAGCGTGCCAAGAACTTTATCAGCTCCAAAGGCCACCCACGCTACTGCACGGTCAGCACACTTAGTAATGGCTCCGTAGTCCTCAATGGGAGCCGTTCTCGCCGAGGAAAATTGCGAGGTCCCCCAGGAAGCAAGGAGTGGGGGTCGGCCCTCAAAGGCTGTGATGATGCCACGTTCATTGACTTTCTGAAGAAGTGTCTGGATTGGGACCCTAGTACTCGATTGACACCAGTTCAGGCCTTAAGGCACCCCTGGCTCTACAAGAGACTGCCTAAGCCTGCACCTGGTGGCGAGAAGTCCATGGTGCCCAAACGAATCACGGAGCACAGCACCTCTTTCCCTACTATCATCTCCAAGGTACCCACTGTCATGGGCTCAACCAACAACAAACTGCGGACCACCATGATGGGGGACTCCACTGGAAGTATACCTTTTCGCACAGTGCTGCCGAAGCTTGTTTCATAGAGATTCCTTAGCTTTTCAGGGATAAAGGCATATGTAGCAGTTTTAGAAGTGGATTTTTTTTTCTTTGTTTTGGTTGGTTTTTCTAAATGAGTGTCAAAACTCAGTTTCAATTTATAATGAAGTATAACAAGCAAAAACAATTTTATACAACTATACTGTGTTTTTATCAAATGGCCTTCAGAGTGTAAAATTCAAAGTTGACATCAGGGCTGTTTTTTACACCTTGGTCTTGAATTGAGTGCTGTTTATTGGAGTGGGTGAAATTTTGATGCTGACTGCTCATCCTGTCCCTTCTAAAGTTTACACACTACTTCTGCTCAGACAAACATACAGCATTTGCATCTCTAAGGGCTGTTTTGCGTGTTTGTGACTTCTAGTATACTTTTTAAGGGTTTAGAGTGAATTTTTGCATTTTTAGGTCAAACATCTGACTAATCTTCATTTAAAACAAATTTAAAATGTCTATTTGGTGTTCTAAAGCCCATGTTATCATCTTAAAAATGATCTTGATCTAATTCAGATGAGCACATTTCTTATTTTAACAGTATCCTCCACAGTCACTTGCATCCCAGTGAGAGGTCAAACTCTAAGCTATTTCTGTCCACAACTGTTTATTTTTTGAGAAGCTGTTGCTTTGGATAAGTTATGCTAGAACAAGATGAAGAAAGTTATACAGTATTTGGTTGTAAGTAGTAGAGTAATGCAGGTCACAATGCTGTCTGATGGCCATGGCCATTCCTGGGCACTATTTAAGTGTCGTAGGAGCGTGTTTTTATCGGTGCTTTTTTGAAAGATATTGGTCAAGTTTCACTTGAAGGCAACAGGCAGTATCACATGTTTGGCTGTACATGGCGGTATGTATTTCCCCGAAGCTGCTGGTGGGGGATGGGAAATGTTGGCAATATTTTCAATAACCGTGTGCTGTTTAGTGATGATGGATACCAAACAGCTAGTGTAAGGACTTCATCAACATATTCAAATTACTAGCTAACAAAAGGTTGATGACATGTATCCATTCTGTTTGTCCTATGAACTTCTCTCTTGTCCAGTAATTTTTAGTGTTTAATTTTTGTTTTGTTTGCAACTACAGCAACTATTCTTGTCATTCATGCTGTGAGAGAAGATATGAAAAAAAGCAACATGACTAAAGATATAATGCAGGGTAATTCCCCTCCCCCAGAGCTCAGCATCAGTACATAGAGTGGTTAATTTCCGTTGATTGTGTGGTCTGAAATATCTCTTCACAGTGACCTATTTTGTTCCCTTTCACTGTTAGGTTTACAGGAGAATCTTTTTCTTTATACAGTCGGAGCACGTTCACCCACCCACAATGGCGCTGGTCAGTGTCTGCTCTTTGAGTATTTGTCCATGTGAAACCCACTATTAGGACAAACGATATATGCATTTGGTTGTTCAGAAGGTTGTTGTATGATCTAATGTAAACATGTTTTTTGACACTGCCTCACTCTTTCTAGCTGTGAATTGAACACTTAATGCTTAGAAGCGAATTGTTGCAAGGTAAGACACTAATCTGCTAAAGGACTGTGGAAATGAACTGCGCTTAACCCATTGGCCCTGACAAGTGTGTGCAAAGCATCTGTGTGTTACCTGGACCAAGTGGATACCAGGCAAGTAGTTGTGAAAGTCCTCCTAATTGGAAAAACAACATTGTCTTTTCACGCCTCTTTCTCAGGTTTTAACCTTCCTTTGGGATTTAATGGACATTTATATATGATTCCACACACCTAGCTGGTGTAAAGAGGATGATTTGGCGCTCAATAATGCTAGGTTTCAGAAAAACTTTATAGCTTTAGAGATGTTGGTGCTCCAATTAGACTATAAACTCCAGTCCTCTTTGGTGTCTTTGTCCAATCATAATCATTTTTGGGTTCATACGTGGTCTCCTGCAAAGTTTCAGTTGTTCTGTGTGTTCTTGGAATACATCAGGGAAAAGTGTCCAGGCAAAAGGGGTTTTAGTGTTTTTCCTACCTCTTTCTTGCTTGTGAAATCCACCTTGTATGCTCTAGAGAGATCTCTACCACACAGATAATAGCATCTTGCTCCACATCTTTCTACTTCGCTTCAGCATTCCTGCCTGTTTGCGTTATCTTGAATCTTTCCACCAAAGCACCCGTTCACTTGACTCTCTTTGTGGTTGGTCTCGGTTTGGGGGGAATCTAGTCTTGTGCCTTTAACTGAACACACTTGACTTAATAAGCGCTAAGCACGGGATGACTAATGTTTCTCTTCCAGCTTTAATGGTCAGGTTTTTGTATTGCTTTTTTCACCCTTTTATAGAGTTTTTACTGTTAGTCGTGTTTTAAAGAGAAGTGAAAGAGATAATCATGTAATTTTCCTTTAAACTGTCGACTGTTGGCCATGTGGTTCAGAGCATGATAATCACAGAATGCATGAAAATAAGTGATCAAATGAAACGGGAGTAAATGACAAGATTTAAATAATGACAGTGTGTGTAAGTAACCAAATGAGCTTGTAATAGTTTCTTTTTCTAAAAAAGATAAATAAAATTAATTTTACCAGTCTTTTGTTGGAAATGTGTCTTTTTTTCTAACATTCAAAGGTTAGTTTACTCTAAAATAAGAATTGTCATTCACTGTTTTTGATGATCTTTCCGCTTGAAGATGGCATGAACTGAAGATTGAAGGTGGTTATAGATAGATAGATATTCATCCATGTGTTTTATTTTATGAATTTTATTTTTTGTTTAATAAATCCACCAGACCATGTTAATAATTTTTTTATGCATGTCAAAATCCAACCCACATCTGGTGCATATACCCGAACAACATTTTTTCTTTTTTGGTAAATCGTTACACTCAGATGTGTCACAGTATGGGATCTGGTGCTACTTCCAGGTAAGTGTGACTTTAAGCTATTTTAACTTCTCCAGTTTAAAATGACTGAAGGGAGTGCACTTCCAAAATGCACTACACCCCAGGTAGCCAAAATGGTTTGTCCCGATAATGGCCTAGATCCGGCAGGCCGGAAGCAATAACTCGGCCCGGCCGCGGTTGCCAGACTCGGCATGGACATGGGATGAATGACGCCCCAGAATCGGCCCAAATACACTGGCCCGAGTCCGGCTGCCGAAACTACCGGCATTGGGCCACAGTCACGTCGGCAAGAATTGTAACACTTAGCTGGTACTGGCCCGAGTCTGGGTACTGAAACTGGGCCGACACCACCAGCATTGGGCCACAATTACACTCTAGAGAAATGAAACACTTAGCCAGTACTGGCCCGAGTCTGGGTACTGAAACTGGGCCGACACCACCAGCATTGGGCCACAATTACACTCTAGAGAAATGAAACACTTAGCCAGTACTGGCCCGAGTCTGGGTACTGAAACTGGGCCGACACCACCAGCATTGGGCCACAATTACACTCTAGAGAAATGAAACACTTAGCCAGTACTGGCCCGAGTCTGGGTACTGAAACTGGGCCGACACCACCAGCATTGGGCCACAATTACACTCTAGAGAAATGAAACACTTAGCCAGTACTGGCCCGAGTCTGGGTACTGAAACTGAGCCGACACTGGGTCACAATCATGCCGACACATAGTCGGTACAAGTCTTGTTCGCTAAATAAAAAAAATGTAAAAAAAAGAAATATATATATATATACTTAAACTTACCCATACAGAATTACAACTTCTAAAATATGTGTATTAAAGACTCCTTCCAGTTTTTATATAAAGCTTTGAATAATTTGTTTTTCCACAAAATTACATTGTTTCCTTAAAATCCTTAAGATGGCATCTACTTCCAACTAAAATAAAATATGTATTTTACAGTGTCTTTGCTAAGCCTACATGTACTTATGCAAGTCAACTAAATGTCACCTTTACATAGAGTAAGGGTTTGCCTTACACCATTTCTTTTCATGGCATCCCCACCTACTACCACATTAATTACCCCATAACATCCATATGTGTTGAAACTCGAATAGCAAAAATAAAGTTCCCTTAACCACTTTATAAGCTTGTTTCTTTATATGAATTAAATCATTAATTTCCAAATGTAGTTAAAGAAAAAAGAGAATGTTGGATAAAAGGAAAAAAATATTAATAGGAATTAAAATAGTACACTAAGAAATAACTTAACATGGGCAAGTAAAATATTATGTTTAAGTTTAAGTGCCACTGCTACATACTATTTACCACATTCGGAGACCCACCCCCAGCACTCAACCTAAACTGGTCCGGGTCTGCATGGCCATATCTCAACCAAAATCAGACCAGCCTTTATGTTCCGTAATGGGGCCGAATGTAGCTAAATGTGCCATGTCTCAGTGCAAATCAGGCCAGATCTGGCAGCCATTACTGGGCCAGAGCTGGCTCACTTTTGGTGAGCCGCTGCCAGAACACAGCCGAGTGAGCCGACACTCAGCCGCAATTGGCCTGATTGCGCTGGCTACCTGGGACAGTTGTAAGGAAATCTGAACAATAATGTTTTAGGCCATGGTAAAGTGTCATTCCATGGTAAACTTTACTTAAAGGGGTCATATGATGCGATTTCAATTTGTCCTTTCTATTTGGAGTGTTACAAGCTCTTGGTGCATAAAGAAGATCTGTAAAGTTGCAAAGACTAAAGTCTCAAATCCAAGGAGATATTCTTTATAAAAGTTAAGAGTTAACCACGCCTACCTAAAACGGCTCGTTCTAACACGCCCCCACATATCTACCTCACTATGTGGGAAGATTTGCATAACGCCACCCAAATGTTCACGCAAAGAAAGAAGGCTTAACTTTTATTCTCACTGTAGTATTGTTGCCGCTGCCGCCATGTCGTGAAGATGCTGTGTGCTTCGTTGTGAAAGTGAAACTACTTTGTTTGGTCTTCCAAAAGAGGACGATATCGCTTCGTCATGCCTGGAGCTGATCTGTGCTGGTCGCTGAGGGAATACATCAACTTAGTGCTGTGGATCGCCGGATCGGCTTTCACCGTGGACGAAGCGGAGTCCAGCCCG